CCCCTGTCCTCCAGGTCGTGCCGATCTCCCCACCTCACCTTCCCAGCCCTCATTCGCCCCACGCCAGAGCGAGGACAAAGACCCCCGTACCCAGCCTTTCTCCCCACACCCAGGTGGGAGCTGGGACGTGGACTCTCCTTCCTGCGTCTCAGAAGGGTAACGCATCGGCCTGTGCAGGGAGTCCTCAACTTACGACTGCGGCCGAGGACAGAGTTTATGTCGCTAAGTGAGGCGGTTGAGTGAGTTTTTTGCTCCACTGGGCGACCGTCCTTGCCAGAGTCATGAGGGGGATCTGCGGCCGTTAGGTTAGTACAGGTAGTCCTTGACTTACGGCTGCAGCTGAGCCCAGCGATTCGGTTGGTAAGTGAGGCATTTCTTAAGTGAGGCATTGGAATGGAATGGGATAGAATTCTTCATTGTGTGTGGCTGGACACACAAGGGATTTGTCTTTGGTGCAAATGCTCTCCGTGTACATAAAAGAAAAGATACATTCGTTAAGAATCAAGAATCATAAGGTACAACACTTAATGACCGTCATAGTGTACAATAAGCAATCAATCATACTAGGAAACAGTCAGTTTGCCCTTTCTTGCCACCGTTGTGAAGAGAATCTCTGCAGTCCCTTAAATTGGTGACCCGTTTGTTAAGTCAGTCTGGCTTGCTGATGGTTTTTGCTTGTCAGAGAGGTTCGCCAAAGGAGATTTGCACGACCCCGGGACACTGACTGTCATAAATACAAGTAATTTGCCGGAATCCGAATTTTGATCGTATTAAGTGTGAAAATGGTCCTATGTCACCTTTTTTCAGCGCTGTTCTAACATTGAACGGTCGCTAAACGAAAAGTTTTTTAAGCCAAGGATTGCCTGTAACCAAGGTTGTTAAACGAATCTGGCTTCCCCGTTCACTTTGCTCGTCAGAAGGTCACAAAAAGGAGATCAGATGACCCCGGGACCGTCATAAATACAAGTCCGTTGCCAAGCGTCCTAGGACTGCAACGGTTGTGGGAAAAATGAGTCCCTTTTTTTCTGGGCCATAGAAACTTCGAACGCTCGCTAAACGAACGGCCGTAAGTTGAGGGCTCTTTCCCTTCCCGCTGCCCCTTTTCCTGACCTTGCTGCTTTTAAACGGCTCACGGTATCCTCTTTATTTTAATCTGCAGGGACTCGCACAGGCAGCTCTCGGAAACATGTAAGTTGCGCGGTGATTTTTTCAAACCACAACCGTTTCCCCCCCCAAAAGCTCCCACGGTTTTGGCAAGGCAAGTCCCAGAGCAAAGTGAGCACACACACACACACACACACACACACACACACACACACCCCTCAAGCAGCCTCTGGCTGCAAGCAGTCCAGCCCAACGCTGCGAGCATGAAGTCCTGCAAGTTGCGGAGTCCAGGAACCAAAGGAGCACGGCGAGTAATCCACAAATCACGCCAGGAAATCCAGGAAAGTTCAGACATTGGCAGTTGAAACTACACAGGGTTTGTTCCCGAACAAACGCCCCTCCCCACAGCGTCTCCTTAAGCCTCAATCCCCCCACCCCGTGGCCGACGGTCAGGACGGGGCGGTTCTTGCTCACCGCCCGGGCTCTGTCTCTCATGTTCCCTGCTTATCCTCTTGATCATCCTGCCCCCTTTCCTGCCTCGTATCTTTCCTCTACCTTCTCCTCTTCTTCCTCCTCCTCCTCCTCACCGCATACCCCACTCCCTTGTGGCATTGATGATATTCCCTAGCTGGGTTATGAAAGGTCCGCAAGCAAACAGCCAAGCTCGGAGAACCCCATAATTTTAGAGGTTCTGAAGTCCACGCATCTCCCAAGCGGCTACGGTTGAGTGAACACCCGATTTAGATCTTACTCTGGGTAGAATCTTCTCAGGAAATAAATCTCTTTTTTTTTTTCTTCTTCCCCTTGTTTCTTTCTTTCAGTGGATGCAGCTGAAGATCTGGTGCCTGATTCCGAAAGAAGCACCTCCCCTTTCCAGGTGAGGATGGTTGGAGAGTGGGCAGGATGAAGTAGGAGGGAATGAATTGGGTGGGGGGAACGGGGACGGGACTCAGTGGCATTAAAGCCACTGTAACCCCTAGATATGTGATGCTCTCTGAGCTTGTATTTGCTTCCTGGAAGACGTTTGGTGACCCGGCTAGGTTACATCAGTGCTAAAAAGAGTGGGGGTTTTGAGTGGGGGGAAGAGGAGGACTATGGGATCCCTGGGGGGGTGTGTCTCTGAACGTGGGTGCTTTCTTGCAAACATTTCCTAATCCAACTAGACAATGGCATGAGTGCTTGAAGGGTCTGGGGTGTGCAGAGCGGAGGAGGAGGAAGGAGAGGAGGAGGGGCAGGAGGAGGAGGGCATCCTTGGATCTCTCTTGCAGACATTTCGTGACCCAACTGGGTAACCACGTCAGTAACAGAAACGAGGAGGAGGAGGAGGTGATGGAGAACTATGGGGTCCTTGGTGCTGTCTGAGCTAGGGGTAATTTTCTTACAGACGTCTCATAACCCAACCAGGCAATGCCATCAATGCTAGAAGTGGGGAGGAGGAAGAGAAGCTGTGAGGTCCTTGATGCTCTGAGCCTGCTTCTTTTCTTTCAAACCTCTTGTGTGGCCCGACTGGATAACATCATCAGTGCGAGGAGGAGGAGGAGGAGGAGGAGGAGGAGGAGTGGTTCACTTTATTCACATACGATGACCCGGCCTCCTTTTCCTCTCCCTCCTCCTCCTCCCCAGACCCTGAGTTAGACCCTTGCCTCCTTGAGGCCAGACCTCCTAAAAGGCTCAAAGTGTTGTCCTTTCTCTCCCCCCCCCTCCCCCTCCAGGGTGAATACCAGGGAACCTATCTCTACACCCTCATCCCCACCTTTCAGGAGTACCTCAGGGAGAACAGCAGCCAGTGAGTGAAGCCCGCACACCTTTTCAAAGTTACTAAACTCGAGAAAAACCCCTCTACCCCCCAACACACACAGAGAGAGACAGAGACAGAAAGAGGGACAGCTCTAAATCTGGCCCAGCCAGATCTTACTCTAAATCTTTCCTGCAGCAGCCCCGGGTCAGCTGTGCGCATCCACACAACCCAGACCAAGGGTGGTGGTGGGGGTGGTCTCCATCCATGGCAACTTTTTAAGACTCCTGGACTTCCAACTCCCAGAATTCCCCGGCCAGGTTTTTGTTGTCACTTTGCTGAAGCCAAGATATATTATACTTTACTGCACTCCCACCGTCTTATTAAGAAAGTTACGAGAACTGGCTGAGGAATTCCGAAGAGTTGGACGTCCACAGGCTTAAAAGTTGCCACAGTTGGAGAGAGACACCACACGCACACCCGAGCCAGACAATTTTCCTTTGGCTGGGCCAGTCGCCGGCTTCCGCCACGTTTCCCCAATGTGAGCCATGGGGATTGACGGGCGCTCAGCTCCCAACCACAACTTCGAGCCCAAAATTCCCGTCGCTAAGCAAGGCGCTGAGCTCTGCCCGGTTCCGCAACCTCTTCTCGCTCCCTCTTCCAGCGGCTAAGTGAATCCGTGTGATGGTTGAATGGATAACCCGGTTGTGAAGTGGGTCTGGCTTCCCCGCTTGGCTTGTCGGAAGGCCACAAATGGGGATGCTGCGGCCGTCATAAATACGAACCAGTGACCACGGGGATGCTGGGGCCATTGTATGGGTGACAAAAAACAGCCCCAAGTCACTTTTTTCCCAGTGCCGTCGTAACTTGGAACGGTCACTAAGCAACCTGCTACAAGTTGAGGATTACCTGCATTTTAAGTTGAAGGCCACCACAGCCGTCCCAACAATTGGGAACACTGATGGGAAGGAGCTCAAAATTTAAGTTGTTTCCAGGCGCTCCAGAAGCTGAAAAGCCAGTTTAGCGCCCGTTACAGTGAAGGGCGCCTGGGAAGACTAGTTTTAGGGACAAAGCTAGGCCCAAGTCGATGGGACGAGGCCGTGGGTGGTGCCTGCGTCATTTTAAACACTCAGTTTTATTTTTATTTTTTAATTTCCTTCAAGGTTGAATAGTTCTCAGTTATGATTGACATCTCCAGCGGTGTGATGGCTACCCCCTCCCAGTAAAGACTCCCAAAGCCCAGCATTTTGCCGACGGTTTTAGAACTTTATTCAAGAAAATGTGTGTGGGGGGGAAAGCCTTGCGGTTTGGTTCATCGGGCCAGCGGAAGAGGAACTGGGCAACAGAGCGTCCGCCCGTATCTCAGGCTAAGACGACGGTCGAGCGGCCGGCATTTTTCTCAAGTTGGTCTCAGGAACGTCCACGACGGGACTGCAAGAACTAGAATGTTCGAAAGGATTAAAGGAATAAAAGGGTTTGCAGATAGCTTTTTCTCAGAGGGGTCCTTGGGGGGGGGCTCCGTGAGCTCGGGGGCTCGCTCGAGGACGTTTCATGACCCAACTAGGGAACGTCATCAGTGCTAGAAGGGAGTGGCGCTTGCAGAAGGGAGGACTGTGGGGGGCCTTGGTGCTCTCTGAGCTGGGTGGTTTCTTTCACGACCCAACTAGGGAATGTCATCGGTGCTACCGTGTTTCCTGAAAATAAAACCATGTCTTATATTTTATTTGCCACCCAAAAAGGCACCAGGTCTTGTTTTCGGGGGATGTCGTCCACTGACTAGCCTCACTTGTGTGCATGGCCCCTGGCCTCATTTTCGCTGTCAGAGGCCTTCAGGAGCTGCTTCTGTGGCCGGCAAGGCTTTCCTGAAGGCCTCTGCAGCCAATAACAGAGCTTGGATCGATCCAGACCTTTGTTATCAGCTCCAGAGGCCTTCAGGAAAGTCTTTGCCAGCCTTGCCGGCTGCAGAAGAAACGGGCCGGCCAGGCAGGTGTCGGGGTGTGCGAGGTAGGGCAGCTCCATCCTCCCATTCCCACCCTAGCTTAATTTTTACCTGTCCATTCTGGAGTGGGCGGGATCTTAATTAGGGCTTATTGGGTGCAGGTGTAAAAATCAAGCTAGGACTTATTTTCAGGGTAGGTCGTATTTTCGGGGAAACAGATTCGTGGAGAGGACAAGGAGGTGGACTGTGTGGTCCTTGGTGCTCAGCTTGGTTGCCTTGCAGACGTTTCATGACCCTACTAGGGAATGTCATCCGTGGGAGTGAGGTTAGAAGGACGGACTGTGGGGTCCTTGGTGCTCTCTGAGCCTGGTTGTTTCATGACCTTAACATTTCATGACCTAATTAGATAACATCATCCGTGTTAGAAGGCGGTAGGGTTTCTGAGAGGAAGAAGTGTAGGTGCTTGGTTGTCTGAGCTTGGATGTTTTTTTTGCAGACAATTCTCAACCCAAGTAGGTAATGTCATCAGTACTACAAGGGAAAGAGGTTTGTAAGTGGAGGAGGAAGAGGAAGAGTGAAGAAAGAAGGATGAGAAGTGATAGATCCTTGGTTCTGTGTTTGCAGGCATCTCGTGACCCAGCTAGGGAACGTCATCAGTACTATTGGCAGGGAATGCCTTCCCACGGAATGGAAAAGCGGGAGAAAGTGAGGTTGGAATAAGACCTAAAGGAGGTTGCCAGCTTCCGCACTACAGAGGAATCAACCTGTGTGTCTAAAGGAAAGAGCCCTCCTGCCTCGACTGGCATTCGGGGATTAGACGGGGTGGGGGGCGCATTCGGGGTTTGATCTCCCCAGCAGCCTGGCGGGGAAGGGAGCAGGCCCAGCTGTCTCAAGGCTGATCCTCCCCCCCAAAGATGGGGTTGACCTGCTGGGTGACGCGGACGAACGTGGTCCTGCGGCTGAGCTCCTTCAGCTTGGCAGCCCCCACGTAGGTGCAGGTGGAGCGGATGCCGCCCAGGATGTCCCTCAAGGTGTGCTCCACGTCCCCTTTGAAGGGCACTTCCACTACCTTGCCTTCCGATGCCCTGCAAGGGGGGGGTGGGAGGGAGGGAGAGAGAGAGAGAGAGAGAGCACGTGTTGCAGGAAGGGGGACCTTGGAGGTCATCTAGTCCAACCCCTTACTTAGGCAGGAAACTCTACCCCCTAGGGGTGACCTATAACCTGATACTCCTCCCGTAAGAGATCCGTAAGAAGCGGAGATCCTTCCCGGCTGCAAACCCACCATGGAGGAAGGGGGCATTTTAACGGCACAGCGATCCCACTGACCATTACCGGTTCCCTTACCGATATTCGGCGACTCCTCCGGCGTATTTCTTCATGGACACCTCAGAGCTCATGCCGTAAAAAAGCTTGTATTTCTTGCCTTCTTTTTCAATCAAGTCTCCCCCGGATTCGGTGTGTCCAGCCAACATGCCTCCCACCATCACGAAATCTGCACCAGCGCCTGCAGGACAGAATTCGAATTATACAAGGAAAACCAGCAGCTCTCGATAGATGGTAGGTAGGTAGGTAGGTAGATAATCTAACATCCGAACACGCCAAGACCTGCATAGATATATAGATTAGATATAGATGGGTAGATAAGATATCGATATATAGACAGACAGACAGATAGATTGGTTATATGGATGGATAGATGGATGAGATATAGATGGATAGATTAGATATAGAGATAGATGATGGATATAAGTAGATGATAGAGATCATAGATAGCAATAGATGATATGGGTAGGTAGGTAGAGAGAGAGAGAGAGAGATATCTAACATCCGAACACACCAAGACCTGCAGAGAGATATAGATAGATTAGATATAGATGGGTAGATGAGATATCGATAGACAGATTGGTTAGATAAGGATGGATGGGTGAGATATAGATGGATAGATTAGATATATAGATAGATTAGATGACATAGATAGATGATAGATAGCAATAGATGATAGAGATAGGATAGATGAATGGGTAGATGAGATATCGATAGATGGACAGACAGACAGATTGGTTAGATATGGATGGATGGATGAGATATAGATGGACAGATTAGATATAGAGATAGATGATAGAGATGATAGCAATAAATGATATAGGTAGGTAGGTAGATAAATGATAGATAATAGATTGATAGATAGCTGGTTAGATGATAGATAGATAGATAGCCTAGAAGTGGGGCTCTCACCTCACAATCAGGAGGTTGTGAGTTCAATACTAGGTAGAAGCAGATATTTCTCTCTGGACTTATCTGCTGAACAAAAAGCTCCACACTGGCGACAGGAAGGGCATCCGGCTATTAAAACGCTCTGCTAGCTCCATTCAGTTGCCCAGACTCCACCCCACAAGGGATTCTGGGGGTCGTTAAATGATGATAATGAAAACAAACGGTCCTTGAGTTAACAACAGTTTGTTTAGTGACCAAAGTTCAGCGGGGCTGAAAAAAGTGGCCATTTTTCACACTTAACTGTTAACCTCATGATCATGTGATCAAAATTCAGATGCTTGGCAACTGACTCATACTTACGATGGTTGCAACATTCCAGGGTCATTTTTGTGACCTTAACAAGCAAAATCAATGGGGAAGCACGAATCACTTAGCCACGTAATGAACTTAACCTGCTGCAATGATTTGCTTAACAACTTTGGCAAGAAAGGTGGTAAAACGAGGCAAAACTCACCTGTGTCTCGCTTAGCAACTGAAATGTTGGGCTCAATTGTGGACCTAAAGGAAGGACCACCTATATATCCCCCATAATCCACCTTAAAGAATCGGGGGGGGGGGGGGGGCACCCATGAGGAAGCAATTTTAACGAGGAGAGAGAGTGTGCGTGTGATTCATTTAACAACTGGCAAGAAAGGTCATGAAAGGAAGCAAACCACACTTAAGAAATGTTTCACTTAGCAACAGAAACTTTGGACCCAATTGTCGCTGTAAGTCAAGGACTATCTGAACAGGCAGTCCTTGAATCATCTATTTGGGGATGCGTGTTACAACCGCACCTGGAAAAATGTGGCTTACAACCTGGTCCTCGTAATTACAACCGTCTGAAACATCCCTACCCTCACGTGATCAAATTTCGGGTGGTTGGCATGAATTTACAACAGTTGTAGCATCTTTGGGTGGGGGCGTCACAGGATCAACATTTGCGACTTTTCCCCCAGCAGGCTTCTGGACAAACAATCTATAAGGGATAAGCCAGATTCACTTAACGACCACATGACTCACATAACCACTTGCAGCGATTGGCTTAACAACCCTGGCAGAAAGTTGTACAATTGGGGGTTTATTTATTTTTTTCGACCGGGTGAACCGTTGAAATCCTGGCTCCCCCCTGCGGTCGTAAGTCGAGGACACCCAGCGGCAAAATTAACCGGCAGAATTTGGAAAACGGGATTTTACCGAAGGCTTTGGCCACGTCCCCTGGGCAATGGCAGCCTCCGTCCTGTAGAAGAGAGGGAAGAGAGTTAACCTCAGCCTTTCTGTGTTTGATTTAAATCCCCCATTCCTAAAGTAGACACGTATTCAGTTCGTGCGAAGGAGAGCAAACAAAACGGACAGGGCAAGATTCTAGTCCTCAAGAAAGGTAAATACTCTGTTTCCCTGAAAACACGACCTACCCTGAAAGTAAGTCCTAGTTTGATTTTTACACGTGTGCCCAATATAAGCCCCAGCCCCAAAATAAGCCATTTACGATCCTGCCCACTCCAAAACGGACAGGTAAAAATTAAGATGAGGGGGTGGAGCTGCCCTACTACTTACCTTTGGACAGTTGTAGCCAGGCCTCACACACCCCGACACCTGTCTTGCCGTCCCGTTTCTTCTGCAGCCAGCAAGGCTGGCAAAGGCTTTCCTGAAGGCCTCTGGAGCTGAGAACAAAGTTCTGGATCGATCCGGAGTTATCAACTGCAGAGGCCTTCAGGAAAGCCTTACCGGCCACAGAAGCAGCCCCTGAAGGCCTCTGACAGCGAAAAGGAGGCCGGGGGGGTGACCCACACAAGTGACGTTAGTCAGTGGATGACGTCCCCCGAAAATAAGACCTGGTGCCTTTTTTGGGTGGCAAAAATATAATCTTATTTTCGGGGAAACACGGTATGAGTCAGACAAAGAGGAGGATCAGAGAATTATTGTGCTGGACTTCTCAAGCTTTGTAGCCGCTAACTGATCGTTCTGAGAATTATACTGTTTGCCTGGATCGAGAGGAATTCTAATGTAAACATGTTATATTGACTGTTTCGTAGTATGGTTTGATCGCTTATTGTACCCTGTGACTATCATTAAGTGTTGTACCTTATGATTCTTGACTCTTGATGAATATATCTTTTCTTTTATGTACACTGAGAGCATTTGCACCAAGACAAATTCCTTGTGTGTCCAATCACACTTGGCCAATGAAGAATTCTATTCTATTCTATTCTATTCTATTCTATTCTATTCTATTCTATTCTATTCTATTCTATTCTATTCTATTCTGTTATTGTCTTCATGCAATATTTTTATTGCATAAAAGTCTACTAAAGTCTCTGGTTACTTCTCCCCTTCCAGGACCACCACAAACCTCCAACCTTGACCAATGGAAGACCTGTGGACTTAAACCCTCAGAATCTGGGAGTTGAATCCACAGGTCTTCCGATGGCCAAGACTGGACTTCTCCAAGGTTTCTCACCGAGATGATGTGTCCTCCGAGGCCGTGGGCCGCGTCCGCACACTCCATGACGGCGCTGAGTTGAGGATAGCCCACCCCGGTCTTCTTCCGGGTGGTACAAACGGAGCCTGAAACAAGCCAGGATTAAGCCAGCTGGATCCCTAGCAAGAATCTAACTCTTCAGCAGGGAGAAACCTAGATTGAAATTTTCAGCCAGGCTTTTAAGCTGATGGATGAATCTACGGGGGACCCCAACATCACCTGGTCCGATCCCCACTTTGATGATGTCGGCACCTGACAGGATGAGCTCCTCCACCATTTCGCCCGTCACGACGTTCCCGGCCTGTGGAGGCAAAAAGAGGGGGGTAGGAAATGGGTGAGACCCACAACTAACTGGGTGACTTTGGGCCAATCACGGGAAGACTGAAAGTTCTAATCCCACCCCATATATGAAAGCTGTCTGGGTTACTTTGGGCCAATCACAAGAGGCTGTGAGTTCTGGTCCTACCTTTGGCATGAAAGTTGGCTGGGTAACTTTGGGCCAATCACAAGAGGACAGTGAGTTCCAGTTCTGCCTTAGGCATGAAAACCATCTGGGTTACTTTGGGCCAATCACAAGAGGCTGTGAGTTCTGGTCCCACCTTAACATGAAAGCCACCTGGGTGACTTTGGGCCAATCACCAGGAGATTGTGAGTTCTAGTCCCACCTTAGACATGAAAGCTGGCAGGATGACTTTGAGCCAATCACCAGGATATTTGAGTTGTAGTCCCGCCAACTGAGTGAACTTTGGGCCAATCACAAGAGGCTGTGAATTCTGGTCCCACCTTAACATGAAAGCCAACTGTGTGACTTTGGGCCAATCACCAGGAGATGGCAAATTCTAAACCCGCCTTAGGCATGAAAGCCTAAGTGACTTTGGACCAATCCCTCTCTCTCAGCCCAGCCCACCTCACAGGATTGTTGTTCTGGGGAAAAAGAGGAGAAGGAAAAAGCACATTGGAGATATCTTGACTTATTTTCAAAAATAATAAAGACAGGATACACACAAATCAATAAAATAAATAGCCCACTCGGGAGCCTCAAGCTGCAACGGACCACACAGCTGAACTGGAAAAGTGGAAATCTTAAAATATTATTTTTTAAAAAAAATCTTAAAATCTTCGCTGTTGGCCTCCTCAAGAGGAAAAGTGGGGCGTCCAACATACCATGATGGTGTGATCGGGGAACCTCTTCCGCAGATCCCTCAAGAACTGGACGAAGTGCTCGGAGTAACCGTTGGCCACGTCCAGGCAGATATACTGGATCTGCGGCACAGCCTCCAGGACTCGCTCCAGGTGCTCCAAGTCGGAGGTGCCGGTGCTGGCGGCCACGTTCTAAGGACAGGCACCGAGCAAGAGAATTCATAATCAACCCCCCCCCCCAAAAAAAGGCTGAGAAAACGACATTTCGAATGATTCAACTACAAGGGACTGAGTTGAAAAGGCGCGCAAAGTCATTAATCTCAAGTTAACAGAAGGACAGAGCTTGAAGGGATCTTGGGAGATCCTCTAGTCCAACCCCTGTTCAAGCAGGTGACCCAACCACCCTTTCAGGTATTGTGTGGATGCTTGTATGCTTTTAGGAGGCAGGGAATTTTGGCGGGTGGGGAGGTTTTTGGGGATTGTCGTGTGTGTGTGTGTGTGTGTGTACATGTTGAACCTGGTCTCTGGGTGAATTTCGGGTGAATGTGAATTTCAATGTGTGTATACTGTGTATACACGTACAATGACAATAAAGAATTCAATTCAATTTCAGATAAAAGACTGTTCAATCTCTTCTTTAAAAGGAGGAGGGGAGTAACAGAGCTGGGAGAGGCCTTGGAGGTCTTCTAGTCTAACCTCCTGGTCAGGCAGGAAACCCTAAATCATTCCAGACCAATGGCTGTCGAATCTCGAAAACCTCCAGTGTTGGAGTACCCACGACTTCTGGTGGCAAGCAGTTCCACTGGTTAATTCTTCTCACTGTCACGAAATTCCTCCTTAGTTCTAACCCAGGCTTTCAGCAAAGCAATTTCATGATACATTTCGGCTCGGCTTTGCAAGTAGTCCTTGTGTTACGACCACAACTGGAAATGGGATTGTGGTCATAAATCATTGCGATCGTAAGACGAAGCACCACGTGACTGATTTTGCCCCCTTTTTCGCAAGGTTTGTAAAGTGAGTCACTGCAGTTGTTAAGTGAATCACGTGGCTGTTAGGTGAAATCATTCTTTTAAGTCAGAGGATTTTTTTGCAGAAATCAGCAAAAGAGTCACAAATCATGGTAAATTAGTATAAATCAATCAATAAAATAAATTTGAGCTGAGCTGAGCAAGGAAGGAAGAAGAGAGAGAGAGAGAGAGAGAGAAAGAAAGAAGAAAGAAAGAAAGAAAGAAAGAAAGAAAGAAAGAAAGAAAGAAGGAAAGAGAAGGAAGGAAGGAAGGAAAGAAAGAAAGGAAGAAAGGAAGAAAGAAAGAAAATTTGAGCCCATTGCCAGAGTGGCGAGGGCCAAAGTTGTAACTTTGTGGAAGTAGCATTTTCGAAAGCCCGTCATAAGTTTGAATGGTTGTTAAACGACCCACAGGTCATAAACGGAGGACTAGCGTGTGGGATGGACACAAGTGAAGGCAGAGTTCCCACACCTACCTGGAGACAATCTGGATTCTGAGCTGCAAATTCCTTCCACTCCTGCAAAGAGTAGTGTTTGTGGATGGCCGTGAAGAGAGAGAACTGGGGGGAAAGAAACAACACGGAAAGGATGAAGCGAGTGGTCAAGACACCTGGCTAGAAAACGGCAGAGCGTAGTTCCCGCCTTAGGCACAAAAGCCAACCCTCTGAGGGATCCTGGGCTGGTCCCTGTCTCTCGGTCCAGCCCACCTCACAAGGTTGTTGCTTTCGGGAAAATAGAAGGACGGTGTGATGGACATGTTCGCTGTCTTCAATGATTTGTAAAAGAAAGGGAGGAAGAAAGGAGGGAGAGTAAGAAAGGAAAAAAGAAAAGAAAAAAGAGAAGGAAGGAAAGAGGGAAGAGAGGGGGGAGAGAAGGAAGGAAGGAAGGAAGGAAGGAGAGAGAGAAAGAAAAGGAAGGAAGAAAAGGAAAGAGTAAAAGAGAGGGAGGGAGGA